CAGCGGGCATGGGTGTGCAGGGCTCATCTCCGTACATGCATGCGAGGGGCAAGCGCAGCCAGGTATGTGCGTGGACGCGCCAGGTGTGCGTTCGGGTGCGTCAGGAGCACAACTGCATGTGTGCAGTTGTCGGGCGGGCGAGAGCTTGCAGGCCTGTCTGTGGCCCTGGACGTCCTCCTGCTGTGAGAACCAGGAATCTGTCTCCAGATTCCAGCTTCCTCCAGGTCAGGGATGGACGTGGGGAGGCCGCTGGCAGGTTGGGAAGTGGGTGCTGCTCCTCCTGCTCCCAGCCAGGGGTTGGGAACTTGAACTTCATGATGCCACCTCCACAGATGGGGAGCCAAGACCCTGCCTGGAGTTTCCAGGGTCACCATGGGGAAATGAGAAGCCAGGTGGGATCCAGCTAGAGCCCCCAGGAGCAGTACTGCGGGCACTCTGTCCAGCCACACATGGGGGACAGGGGTGGGGGACAAATGAGAATAGGCCCTGGACTTTCGGGGGCTCCAGCCCAGCTGCAGAGGGACATTCTCGGTAGGGACAGGGAGCACTAAGGGTAGCACAGGGGACTTGGGGGTCAAGGTCGTCCCACCGGAAGGTGACCTTCCTTCCTCAGCTCCTTCTCACGCAAGGGCCCGGAAGGGCCTGGGGCCCATTGTTCCTAGGCACGCTAGCTCCCCTGTCTGCCAGGCGGGGGGTACAGAAGGGAGTGAGCTGGGCTGGACCTGGTGAGATCCAGTGAGAGGTGCAGGGTGCCGGGAACACAGGCTCACACACGTGTGCCCCGCCTGCACGAGGGTGTGTGTACCACAGTGGCCCTGGGAACCCCTACCCTGCCTGCTGGTGTGCGTGTGTACGTGTGTGTGTGCCTGCACGTGCGCACTCACCTGGCACCCTGTGCTTCATGGATCCTCACTGTACCTCCAACAGCCTGCGGGGTGGGATCTCATCACACCTGCAGGGTGAGAACAACCAGACTTGGAAAGCTTCTGCAGCTGGCCCAGGGTTAGTGGATTTGGACCCAGACGAGGCAGCCTCCAGCCTTACTGCCTGTCCCTCTCCCAAGCCCTGTGAGGACTGGGGCTTACCCCAGTCAAGGCCAGGATGGAGTGGGCAGTGCGGAGGTGAAGGGGTGGCCTGGGGAAGCCATAAGTGTCACTGCAATGTCCTTCTAAAACTAGAGAAGTGACTGAGTATGGTGACACACACCGGTCGTCCCAGCACTCAGAAGGCTGAGGCAGGAGGATCACTGCAAGTTCAAGGCCAGTCTGTACTACATAGTGAGACCTTGTCTTAAAAAGGAAAAAAAAAATCATTTAAAAAAATTAAATAAACAAATGCTGGTCTAGGAAAATCCAGCCTCTCTCGATTCCCTGCTCCTGCCAGACAGTGCGTGCACTACTGTTCCAGACAGTTTGTGCTAGCCTCAGTCTCCTTTGTCACCTGAACAGTCCTTGCCCCAGGAGTAAATTGTCCCGGGGCAAGATTCACTGGATGGATGTGGGTGAGGGGGACCCCAGGGACTGGGTTCATTTGCACAGGAACCAAGGGACTCCTGAGGGAAACTGTCCAGAGGGTGAAGGGTTGGTGTTCCCTGTAGGAAGCAGTGAGCAGGTTTGGGGCAAGGACGGTGGCCCAGGAGGTCCAGCTCAGAGTCCCAGGGAAGGCAGAGAGCAGGGGGAGGATGCATTAGACTCCATGTGGCTCCTGTGTCACAGCAGCTTTCCTCTGTGTCACTGTCCCTTCTGGGCCTGCTGTGCTGTCCCCTAACAGCCACATCTGCCTCCAGCTGCTCTCCTCCCTCTGAGTCAGAGTGGGACAATGCCCCAAAGAGACCTAAGGCCAGCTGACGCCTGACCCGTGACCCATGAGCATGGCTAACAGCCTTGGCCCAGCAGAACCCTCTCTTGACCACATGGTATCTGTTCTGTGAGATTGTCTGGATGCAGGGCAGATACAGGCAGGGAAGGGACAGGGACGGGGCAGTCCTGAGCCCCTCGGCCTCTGCTTTGCAGCTTGTGACCTCTGAGCCCTGGGTTCTATCCCAGGATGACCTCATGGTGCCCACTTCCTGAGGTTGTCTTGAGGACAGCCAAAAGAATGTGTGTCCAGGAAGGGCCAGGACAGAACTGGCCCCATCTGTCCCCAGCCTGCTTTGGGGACAGATAACAGGCATAGGGGCAAAGTCTCCATGTCCCGTTTTTTCTGCCTTGGGAGAGGGGACCCGTGGCCAGCTGGTTAAAGATTGGCCAGAGGTGTGTGAGAAGCTCAGGCTAGTGCTGGTCCGCACAAGGCCAGGCGGGGTGGTGTCCACTGGACAAGCGGTGGCCACCTCAGCCTGTCCTTGAAGCTCCCCGGGGAGCTGGGCCTTGCTGGACCTGGATGGACAGGTGGGGTGGCGTCACTCACTTCATTTCTTCTCTTTTCGTTTCATTTTAAGACAGGGTTTTGCTATGTTGTGCGAGCTGGCCTTGAACTCATAGCAATCCCCCTGGCAGGTGTGAGTCACCTCGCCTGGTTCAACATCATATATTCTATATGTGCCCTAGGGGTGCCTAGGGGAGGCCCCTTCCGCTCTAGGAAGCTATGTCACGTTGCCCTCAGATGGGGCGTCGCGGGGCCAGGCTGTGTCTCCACCCTCAGACAGGGCGGACTCCGAGTGCCAGGCTGCGAATCCCTCCTGGATAGCAGTCCCGGGTCAGGAGCATTTCCTCCTCAGACTGGGACTCCCAGGCAGGACCAAGTCCTGCTCCACTAGGAAGATGATGTCTGGTGCCGGTTGCACCCTGCTCCCCCTCAGATGGGGCCCTCAGGACAAAGCAGCACCTGCTCTGCTGGGAAGTGGGTGGGCTGTCTCCCAGCTGCAGGCTCCTTGCCTGTGCCCTGGGTTTGAGCACACATAGGAGGGACACTTCCTCCCCTGGGTACCAGCACGGAGTGTCTGCCTTTACTTCTGAGATGTACTATTGTCTTCAAAGCCACAATGTATGTGACTATTTCCAGAATGGTGGGCAGTAATGCCACTGGAAGAACTCTTTCTTTTTAAAAAAAAAGTATTGGGAATTGAACCTGGGGCTTTGTGCTCAACTACATCCCCAGCCCTTCTTTATTTCCAGACAGGTCTTACTAAGTCAGTAAACAGCCCAGTCACTAAATAGCTAAGTCTCTAAACAGATGGTAAGTTTGGGCTCGAATTTATCATGCTCCTGCCTCAGCCTCCCAGAGTGCTTGGGTAACAGGTGTGAGCCACCACATCCAGCATGTTCTATGGGTTGTGATAAATGTATGACCACCATTACCATATCATAGGGTGTAGTGGCACAACTTTAACTTCTCTCTGCTTTTCCCAGCAGATTTTCTAATCTTTTTTTTTTTTTTTTTTTCCAGTACAGAGGAGTGAACCCAGGGCCTTACTATAGGCAAGCAGTGTACCACTGAGCTACCCCTCAGCCCTCCCCTTCCCTGGTCGTTTTTCTGTTTCCATAGTTTTGCCTTTTCCAGAATGTCAGAGTTGGAATCACACAGTATGTCACCTTTCACTTAGCAATATACATTTAAAGTTCCTCCACATCTTTCTGTGGCTCGGAAAGGTCATCTCTAAAAAAAAAAAAATCATAGACAGTATTCTATCGTATCTCTCCTTCTTACAAAGATTGTGCTGGCCAGCTGTGGTGGCGCACGCCTGTGATCCCTGCACGAGGGAGGATGAGGCAGGAGGATCACAGTACTTTGAGGCCATTCTGGGCTACACGGTGAGTTCAAGACCAGGTTGGACTACGTGGCAACTCCTCGCCTCAAAAAGAAACAAGCAAAATGATTGCGGTAAAATAGACTTAAAACTTAACATTGTCACCATTTGAAATTTATGATTCTGGGACTAAGTACATTCATACTGTTGTGCAACCCTTTCTGTCCCTTCCCAGAATTATTTCATCATCTTGATCAGAAACTGTATTCATTGAATAAGAACCTCCACCCCTGCCACCTCCTCTTGGCCCCTGGCAACCTATATTCTCCTTTCTTTCTCTCTTCCTCCCATTCATGTGAGTGAAATCAGACTGTACCTGTATTTTTGTTTTTGCTGTTGGCTTTACTTTGCTTAATAGAATACTTTTTTAAAAAAATTCCTTTTTAAAAATTTTATGAGACAGAGCTTGAATTTATGCTGACCCTCCTGCCTCAGCCTCCCAAGTGCTGGGGTTACTGCCCCGCCTGGCTGCCTGAGTATTAATCTTCTGTCAGATGCTTTGCAAACACTCGCTTCCATCCTGTTAGCTGTATTTTCTGTCTCTGAGGTGACCTGGACCTTTTGGAGGTACTGAAGTGCCTCTGGAAGCCTGTTTTCCCCTGGCTTGGATGGGCAGAGGTAGGCCTGATGAGAAGTCACACGTTCTTTCCTTTGAGATGGGGCCGGAAGGGTCCCCGGCTGGATCCTCTCCTCCCTGTGCCCTCCAGGTGCTCACTCTTGGGTCACACAGGAGCAGAAGGAAGAGGGGCAGTGAGAGAAGAGCCCATCCATCCATGCTGATGGGAGACAGACCCAGGCCTGGGCTCAGAGCTGGAAAAACCAGGGCCCATGAGGCATGGGTGGATCCTGGAAAGATTACGCCCATTCTTTCCTCATTATTCTTTTTTTTTTTTTTGGTACAGGGGATTGAACTCAGGACCTTCTTAGGAGGCAAGTGGCAGCACCACTGAGCTGAATCCCTGGCCCCTTTCCTCATTATTCTAACTCTGAGAGAGGCTGGGCACAGCCGGAAGATTGCATTGGTTCATTTATGTGCAGAGTGCAGAGCAGACAGATCCACAGAGACAGAAAATGGTATTGCACGACTACACTAAGGAGGTGAGTTCTATGGTTTAAGAACTGCATCTCAATAAAGCTTTTATTTATTTATTCATTATTATTTTTTGAGGCAGGTCTCTCTATGTAGCCCAGGCTGGCCTTGAACTTGTGGCCATCCTCCTGCCTCAGCCTCCCCAGTGCTGTGATTACCACCATCCCTAGCTGAAACTGTTCTTTACAAAGAAAAGGGGAGAAACAAGATCAAGGCCGACGGGCACCCATCCCCTTCCTTGGCTGCTGAGGCCCCTTCATTTGGAGAAGCGCGGCCGCACCTGGATGTGCTCGCAGTGGGGTGGCTTCATGGTCAGCCCATAGGTGGGTGTCATGTCCACCTTCGTGCCGGGCGGTACGCTGAACTCCAGCCTCTGCAGCAAGATGGCCAGGAACAGGAAGATCTCCCACCTGCCAGGCGTCTCTCCAATGCACCGGCGCTTGCCCAGGCCAAACAGCAGCACCTTCTCGCTCAATGTCTTGTTGATGGTGGTGTCACTGGCTGTGAGGAATCTCTCAGGGCGGAATTCTAAGGGATCTCCCCACTGCTTCCTGGAGAGGGCAGAGGATCTTGTGAGCTGGGGAGGCCGGGAGGCCCAGGGAGGCTCCCAATTGGTGGTCTGTAGAGAACACAGGCGTCCGAATACAGCAAGAGCAATGAAGGCTTAGTGGGCGGTGATGATGGTAAAAAAAGAAAGCATGTTCATTTTCGTCCTACTCAAAAGATGTGGGTAACAAAGGGAATCATAGATGGCCCCAAATTATGGGTAGTATTCGAAATGATTATTGACGGCACAAGTGTTCAGAACACTTATGCTCAGAAGTGTAAGAGAGCAGGTGGTACATTCTGTGGTCCCCTTGCTGTAGCCTAAAGTGGGGTTTCCTTAGAGCAGTCTTTGGGCCATTCCTGTCAGGACCCCAGAGCACCCTCCCTCAGGCTGGCAACTCTAGCCGACTTCCTGGCCATTTCTTATGACCGGCACCAAAGAACACACTGATCTGCATTTTGTCTTTTAGCATAAACTCTCCAGCATTCGAGGGTCCACGCCTTGCCCATGTATTTCCAGCAAACAAGCAGCTCCCCCGACTGCAGGAGCCACAGCACCCCCTTGTGCCCGCATACTCACGGGTCGTGGTTGACCTGCCACTGGTTGATGAATACGCAACGTTCCTTGGGGATGTGGAAGCCATTCAGTATGGTGTCCCTGGTTGTGCTGAGGAGGGAAGAGGGCTCTGTTATGCTTGGGAGCTGGAAAGCTGGGTCATCTTTCTCCTCCCTGTCATACCCCTATGTCTGTTCCCTATAGTTTGCCCCTTTGTGAGAGAGCGTGAGGGGTAGGGAGGAGAGGAAATTGTCCTGCCTCTTCCTCCCCTTCAACATGGTGCAGAAACATCTGTTTGTGTCCAATTGTGTGCTGTACTATTCTTTGGCACCGAGGTAGGCAGTCTGGGCAGGCCATAGAGTTTCAAGCCTTTTTACTTTTTTTTTTTTTGGTACCGGGGATCAAACTTGGGACCTTGCACTTACAAAGCAGGCGGTGGAACCACTGAGCTAAATCTCTGGCCCTAGCCTTTTTATTTTTTAAGATAGGGTCTTGCTAAGTTGTCCAGACTGGACTGGAACTTGTGATCCTCCTGTCTCAGCCTCCTAGAGTGCTGGGATTACAGGTGTGTGCTGTCATGCCCGCCTTGTTTCAAGCCACTTGCTCCTGGAATAACTGGACCAACATGTGGGTGGAAATGGACATCAAGTTTGGGTTGGGGTTGACCCTGGGCAAGGGCAGGGGATGTGGATAGGAGTCTGTCCAGGCAGCAGTTCCAGCATAAGCAGCAGAGGGCATGTGTGACAGCTGAGGTCACAAGGGTGACCTCTTCCTGGGTGCTGCATGGTTGGATCATGAGCAGCCAGAACCAGGAGCTGGGGATCCACAGGAAGCTGGTGTCATGGCTGGGAGGGAGCCAGGGGAGGTACCAAGAAGTTGGAAAGGGTGCCATGGCGGGGCTCAGGGGTGCACGCCACGTGGCTTCACCTGTGTGGGATGGTGAAGGGCACGAAGGAGGAATGTCGGAAGACCTCCAGGATGAAGGCCTCCATGCAGGGCAGCTGAGGTCGGTCCTTCAGCTGGGGCCACCGCTCCTGGCCAATCACGGTGTCTGAAGAAACAGGGGCATGCAGAGCTCAGGGGCTGCGTTGACTGTCCGTTGGCATCCATGCCCCCTGTTGTACCATTTGTCACCGTGTGGGACTACATCTCATATGTCTGATACTCTACAAATCCATGCAACATTTTCTGGGACCAGGGCTTGCACATAGCAGGCACATACTAGGTATTTAAATTAATTTTTATTTTGTGATCTGGTCTTACTGTGTAGCCCAGGTTGGCCTGGAACTTGTTGCAACCCTCCTGCCTCAGCTTCTAAGAGGTGGGACAACAGGCACATGCCACCATGCCTCAGCACTAACAGGCGTTGATTTTTAGGTTGAATAAACGACCTGAGGTCCAAGTGCCTCCTGAGCACAGGGCTGGGGCCTCACATACCTAGCTCCTTCTGGATCTTCTTCTGTATCTCTGGCTTGGTCACAAGGTACAGGAGGCTCCAGGTGATGGCGGTGGTGACTGTTTCAAAGCCTGGGCAGCCCCAAGTGAGAGGAGGAAGGAGTCAGGAGCAAGGAAACCTTGAGGCCCAAGCACCCCTAGGAGCAGAACAGGCGTTATCTTTCCAAAGGGTAGGGGTTGAATCTCCTTGACATCAGCTGGAGACACCGGTCAAAGGACTCATTATCATTCGGGGAAACTGAGGCCCCGAAAAGGAGGGAGACTCGATCACATTTCCACTGGGAGTGGATGGCACAGATTGGGCTCCATCCCTGACTCCAGGCTGGGTGTCTGTGTCCTGGACCAGCCGACCCTGGCAGGAAGAGTGTGGGGCTCTGTCTCCTCCTACCTGCCGCAAAGATGTCATTGACCAGGTTGATAATCTTCTGGGGGATGAGGTCGTCATTTACCCTGGAACCCTCCTCACTGTGCTTGAACAGGGCGCTGACGATGTCCTGGATGTTGTTCTGAGGGGACACACACTTGGGAAGAGTTCCAGGACGAAGGCCTGGCCCAGCCCCAGCCCACCTGATGCATCCCCATGGGCCAGGCAAGGCAGATGGTAGGAGCGGGGCCGCTCTGGCTGTATCATTAATACCCCTTTAACCCTTCTTTCTGATGATCCTGGGGGGCCAGGTCAAAGGAGGAAGAGGTTGGTGCAAACACAGGGAAGAAAAGTGACATGGAGCTGGGGATTAGTGGTTGTTGGGGTTCAGGTTCCTGCAGAACAAGAGCCTTCTCACTCTAATAACAGGTGCCTCTGTAGGCTTTTCTTCCCAGGGCTTTGAGCGGCCCCAAGAGAGAGGCTGTGAGGATAAGGAAGCAGGTCCAGAGTGGGGCGGGATGGCCCCCCGCCCCCGACACCCCCAGGCCTTGGCGGCACCATTGCCGCGTGGCCACCTTGGACACACGCATGGCCTCCCAGGCGCCTCCGACCTTGTCGAAGTCCTGGTAGTGCTCCCGGACCGTCTTCTGCAGGAAGCGCAGAATCCGCTCATTGTACCTCTTGAACCGCTGCAGGGTGGGGTTGGGCAGGTAGCGGAGGATGGGGAAGAAGTCCACGGGGTTGGCGGAGGAGGCGGACTCCACGAAGTCCTTGCTGCCTGCCACGATACTGAGCATCTCCTCGCTGGTCTGGGGGAAGTTCTTCCCAAAGCACATGGCGCCGATGACATTGGCCACCGACCCCACCAGCTGGCTGAAGGGATCGAAGCGCCCAGGCCCCGCCATGAGCTCCAGCAGCCTGCTCACGAGGCGCTCGGCCTCCTTCCTCACATGCTTCTCCAAGTAGCAGGAGGACGCAGAGGTCGGATCTGAAGCCACCGAGAAACTCTTCAGGGCATCCTGTGCCAGGCGCCGGCGGGCGGCCCACACAGGGCCCGAATCTGGGTTGAAGGTCATGCTGTGGCCATCGGTGACCAGGGTGAAGCTGTAGAGGTCGGGCCGGCCCTTGAAGTCATCGCCCTGCCGCACCAGGGCCTGGCGGATGGTGTCCAGGCCGCTCAGCACCACCACTGGCGTGGAGCCGATGCGGATCTGCAGCACGTCCCCGTAGCGCTTGGCCAGCCTGGCCAGAGCCAGGTGTGGGTTCTTACCCAGGGTCAGCACGTGCCCAATCAGTGGCCAGCCCCAGGGTCCCGGGGGGCTCTTCAGGCCTTTGGGAACCTGAGGCCTAGAGGCTCTGACTACCCAGAGTACCAGGCAGAAGATGGTGGCAGCCAGGAGCAGCTCCATGGCTGAGAAGGAAAGAAATTGGGACAATGCCATTGGTACCAGCTGCAAAAGAGAAGGATGGATGGGACAGGCTGAGGATGGAGATGGTGCTGTCTGTTTATTCAGTCGGTCAGTCACCCAGAGGCTCGCAGCTGGACCCCAGAGGACTAAGACACACCGTCATGGTCCCGTTCCCCAGGGGTGTCCTTCGCATGTCGCAGAGCTTGGGATCCCCAGCTCAGGTGTTTGAATTCCTAGCCCTGCCTTTCCCTCATTTCTAATTCTGAAGCTGTAGCGGAGGCTGAGACACCTCCAACACAGGGATGCCAAGGACGGTCCCCCCGGCACTGCTGGCGCAGAGTGTGTGCTGTACATCGTGTCAAAGCTCCATAACAAGGTGACACCCTCTCCATACCCCAGCAACAGGAAGCCCCCCCCCCAGCAGGGAGCGCAGGGTCCCAGGAGTGATGCAGATGGCCTGTGATGCCCCTGGCCCTGATAGCACCCTTTGTCGACACCAAGAAAAGATCCTCCTGCAAGGACAGTTCCTGTCTCCTCACGGTCTTGGAAGCTGAGGTTGCTGCAGCCGGGCCAGGGCCACCCTCCCTCCCCATATCTCTATCCAGTAAGAAAGAGATGGAGCTTCAAGCCACTCACTGAAAAATGGAGAAACTGAGCCTAGAGCTGATCAGCAGGGACCAGGACTCAGGCCTCCTACCCCTACCCATGGTTCCCATTCCTCCATCTCTATCAGTCTCCAGAATCCATGGCAGGGAACCCAGCCCTGGAATGTACCTGTGGAGGCAGGTGCTGGAGATTAGCAGGATTGTGGGGGCGCATCTGGGATTTCTGGCTGCAGACAAGGGGCCTTTTATAAACACCACCCCCATCAGATAGGCCCAGCTGGCCTGGTTACCTGATATCAAAATTGGATCACTGAACAAAGTCAGAAGGATTGACCCTTGGCTTTGGGCCATGACCATGTAGCTCTACCTGTTCCCAGAGCTCAGGTCAGCTCTCTGGGATCAGGCCAGGAGGGGTTCTGGTTGTCTGGACTGAATGTCCAGTTCCTTTCAGAGTAGAGGTTAAGGGACTCCTCTCTCTCTCTCAAGGGCAGGGCAGGCTGGTAGGAGTGGGAATTAGGCCTCGGACTGTCCCCCTTCCCTGCCTCTGGGCACTCAGTCCAAGCTGGGCTGGAAGTGGGCATGGTCCAGCTGCCTCTGAATCTCAGCTCAAATTCCTATTTGAAAACAGGAGATAGCCCCCCTTTTTTATTTTTGAGACAGTGTCTCACTATATAGTTGAGACTGATCTGGAACTCACTATGTAGCCCAGGCTGGCCTCAAACTCAGCAATCTTCCTGCCTCAGCCTTCTGAGCGCTGGGATTACAGGTGTGCGCCACCATACCCAGCAGCCGTGTTAATCTTAACTGTCAATTTAATTGGATAGAGAGATGCCTAAGAGAATAATAAAGCACACCTCCAGATGTGTCTGGGTGTGTCACAGAGGTGTGACCTTGGGGATTATATCTGGCCCCTTGTCTCTTCCTCTTGGGCTCTTTCCCAGCTCTCTGCTTCCTGGCTGCCATGAGGTGAGTAGCTATCTTCCTCCAGGTCCTTCTTCCATGATGTTTCAGCCTTGGAGCCAGCTAACTATGGACTAGAACCTTTGAAATTATGAGCCAAGATAAACCCTTCCACTGTGTAAGTTGTTTTTGTCAGGTACTTGGTCTCAGCAACATAAAGGTGACCAACACAACCCTCTCCCACCCTCCTGTGGAAGAGATGGTAAGAAATTAAAAAGCAAATGAAAAGTCCTTGATTTTGGCTGCTTGCTCCTCATGGCCAGGACTTGAGCTCTTGCAAGTGACGAATATCATTAAGAAAGACCAGGGCCTGTTCTAGACCCAAGAGGCCACCGAGATAAAAGACCAAATGTAAAATATGAACTTGATCGGATCCCGGATTTAACAAAAAAGTTTTCAAAGACATGGAAGATATTTTTGGGACCCTTAGGGATATAGAAACATGGACTGGAGATTAAATGATTTTCTGGAATAAACGCTAGCTTTCTTAGATGTGAGCATAATACTGTATCATGGCTCTGTGGGAGTGTATCCTTATTTTTAGGAGATTGATGCTGTATTATTTGAGGAGGAAGTGTCCTACTGCAACTTCCTTTCAAATGGTTAAAAAAGTGTGCATTTTAGGCAAGCACAGTGGTGCACACCTGTAGTGTCAGCTACTCAGGAGGCTGGGGAGGAGGGCTGCTTGAGCTTAGGAGTTCAAGGCCAGCCAGAGCAACAGGGGGACCTGTCTCAATAGTAATACTGGAGTGGTGATGTTGCTCAGCGGCACAGCGCCTACCTGGCAAGCTCAAGGTCCTGAGTTTGATCCCTGGTACTACTAGTACTACTACTACTTCTATCTATCTATCTATCTATCTATCTATCTATCTATCTATCTATCATCTATCTATCTATCTATCATGTACCTATCTATGTATCTATCAATCAGGAGAAAGCACACAAGAGGTTCAGTTATCACGAACCTAGATGAAGACACATGGGTGTTCATTGTGTAAAAGAAATTTCAAGCTAGACTAAGGCCTTGGTCACATGTAAGAGGAAGATGGGAACAAGTCTTAAATTGGATATGAGAAATTAAAAAATTTTTTTTGCTATACAGGGAATCGAACCCAGGGCCTTCACATTGTGTTACATTCCTAGCCCTTTTTTATTTTTAATTTTTTTAGTACCAGGGATCGAACTTGGGTCCTTGTGCTTGCAGAGACAGGTACCAGAACCACTGAGCTAAATCCCTGGCCCTTATTTTTTATTTTGAGATAGGCTTTCTCTAGGTCGCTACATTGCCTGGACTGGGCTTGAATTTATGACCCTCCTGCCTCAGCCTCCCAGAGTGTTGGGATTATAGATGAGCACCACTACTCCTATCTAAGAAGTAAAAATTTAGCTTGGATTAGACTGGAACTTTAATTCCTGAAAACAAGAAAGCTATGGGATTTACTCATGAAGATGCTGAGGGGCAAGGATGGAACTTGGAGAAGGACAGAGCAGATCTGGGCCTGCAGGTAAGGGAACAGGAAAGCTGTTTCCAGCAGAGTCCACTCACTCAGTGAAGGACACGGCTGAAAGAGAGGTTGTGGTTACAGACCACTGACACTGTTTCACTGATGAACTGAATCCACAGTGCATTTCAATGTCCTCAGTTTTCACTGAAGTCCTTTTTCTGTCCCAGGTCCCGACTAGGATACCACGAGGTATTTAAACATCATGGCTCTTTGGATGATCTGTGGCTATGACACTTTCTCGGGTTACCCTTGTTTTTTTTTTTTTTTTGGTGACCTTGACAATGGTCAGGAGCCCTGGCCTGGTGTTTTGTGGACGTCCCACTGTTAGAACTTGGGGTTTTGCTCATGGCAAGCCTAAGGTTATGGGTTAGTGGTGGGAAGGCCCCAGGGCAAGTGTTGCTGCTGCCACAGCACACGGGGCACACGCAGTGCAGCGTGACAGCCTGGTTGCCGTGACTGAGCCGCTGTTGGAGCCGAGTTGAACCTCTCCCTGGGAGGTTACTCTCTCCCTTCCCATACTGCACCCATGGGAAGGAAGTGGCCATGTTTAGCCCACACCCAAGAAATCGGAAGCATCCACATAAATATTTGGACATCTCTCTAGGAGAGATTATTTTTCTTGTTTTTTGTTTATTTGGGGTTTTGTCCAACTTTTAAAATTGGTACATATTGATCACATTCAGGGAATTTGTTCCTGTACATAATATGTCTTAATTCTTCTTTTTTTCCCCGTTTCCCCCTCCCCTCTCTTCAACCTTTCTTCCACTCCCCGTTTACAAAGGCTTTGTTTCCATTTTTTTCTTCCATTCTTTTTTCTCCCTTTTCCCTTTTTTCCCTTCTTCCTCCCCCGACCCTCGTTCTCCTTCTCATTTGAACATGTTAGGGGAGACTATTTTCTTTTAAATGTTTTCTTGAGTGGTACACAGTGGCCCTCGCCTGTAATCCCAGCATTCTGAAGGATGAGGCAGGAGGATTGCTGTGAGTTGGAGGCCACACATAGTGAGCCTCTGTCCCAATAAAAAGAGAAGAGAAATACAGCTCAAAGAATTTTTATAAACTTAACAAAGTGTATAATTGGCTCTCATATTAGCAGAGGAGGCAGCATCAGTGGCCTCAAAGTCTCCTTGTCTTCCCTCTAAAGTGACCACATCCCAGCTCTAATTGCATGGGTTTGGTCCCCTCCCCACTTTGCGGGTTTTCTTTTTCTTTCTTTCTTTCTTTCTTTCTTTCTTTTTTTTTTTTTGGT